AAAGCGCCTATTACGTGAAACGATGCCTAGCACCAGCTTATCTCCACATCCGAATGTTGTGATTGGTTTTCCTCACTTAGACTATCAGGGTTTTTTTTCTCAAACCTTATTGAATTGTATTGCTTCGCTCAAATTCTTCTAGCGTTTTAATGTACCTTACGGCTTTCTTTAGGAGTTACAAACGGAACATGTGTTTAGTTCTGTTCCTGGTCCACCGTCATCCTAAAGGATTACGTAGACCAAATCACCGACATAGCCTGACCCGACTAGGAGGTAAAATGACATCTAGATAGATGTATCATCGATCAAAGTGAGAAGCTTCTTAAAGCTAATCCCCGTACATCTATAAACAAATTATGACATGCATTATTCTTCTCAATGATGGCCTTTAAATATATGAGTACCAGAGGAATTTGTTGGACAACCCTTAATAAGTATGAACCTTCGGCACAAGCAACAAGTAAGGCTCGACTAGAGGCGCTTATGGCCCAGTATGCAGTAGTTCATTGTATGACTTCACAACATGACTTATTACTGATGTTATCAACAGTTATAACAGAGAGGACTTCGTTTAAATTTATCTTTAAGTGCCTGTTGCTATCATCCAATCCATACACATTTACCTGAGTGAAGGATCGGCACATTCCATCTGCAGCAGTCCAAGTGAATATACAGTGAAGAGACTGGGCAAAGCAGCAATATGCTAGCAGTGTCGGGACAGTTAATTAATCCGTGATCACCAGACTAAGAGGTTGGATCGATTCTGCATGTCCTTTTCAGCCTCCTTGTCATCAGTCGTAGAGTTTCTCATTGTTGCTTGGAAAACAAAAGATTCCCAGTATAAAATGCACGGGTTTACACTCAGGGTCCTCTTTTTTGCTGCCAGAATGCCACTTGGAAAGCAACATGAACCGTTTGTAGAAAGTTGGTTCCCGCCCTGGTGTCTTAAAGTTGTGTAACCGTAGTGATGATTAGTCTGCATACTCCTAGGATGAACATAGTGCAACTTTTTCACCTTTGCTTCAACTGGCTATGCGTATTTTCGAAGGATGTTCGGCTATCAAAGTGACGTTTGGTCGAAGGTTTTGGCTACGTCAGACTTTGGCACATCTATTCATTTGCTGAAAGCCCTTACCCAGATTCTCGTGTGTACCGACGGGTTACTGCAGTGGTTATCATTAGCTGAAACTTAGTGAACGTGCGTCGTGTTTATTCCACAACAGAACAGATGCACTTCGTCTGTACAGTTCAACACAACGGAGATTCAGTCAAGGTTCAAATGAATCCATCCTTTTCGAAGTTCCTCAATCAAACGTACAGCGCAACTTCAGCCTGATACTCAAAGCGTTTTCTCTTCACGTGCAATAGTACATACAACATCAATGAAACCTCATTAACAGATTGTTCGTTGGGAAGATAGAAGCAGTTGTCAGAACAGTGGGATTGAAGTTCTGTTATGTGTCTTAATTCAAGCAGTGGCCCCATTCCTCAGTGTGATATCGTAGTCCTCACCACCTTTGGGTAGAAACAATATTCCATATGGTCACGATGATGAAAACTTGGTGTAAGTTGGGGCCAACTCACACATACGTCACTCAGCACTCGTCACGACTTAAGTATTATGGATCTATCCATCGTGGATTAACTTGAAACAAATGGGAAAGAGAAACTGTCTTAATTCAATGCACTCGCATGCTGAACTAAACTCTGGACCGGACCGCTGGCTACCCAAAAACAGCTCGGCACAACGAGAGGTTATTGAATTGTACTAGCAAGTCGGTTTTCGAAATACGTAGCTCGTCAAAGTTTGGATTCTTCTCATAACAACTTTCTAGCAAGAATAGTGGCAACCGTTTTCGACGCAATATGGCTGTTGAAAATATGGCTGCTGGAAAATATAAATAAAAAATAAACTTGATTTATATTTCATATCTTTGATTAGCATAGATACGCCTTAATGTTTACCTTCTTGTTGAGAACAACCAGTGTTGCACGTGCTAGGACATGAACCGTACACAAGTTCATCCGGAACAGGCAGGATGGAGCGTTGTATGCAATATGATACATACAGTTGACCGACAGAGAGATCTACACGAAGAATGACCAACCAAACGTTGATTTTTAACCAGCGTTCCCTGTCAAAACAAGAAGAAATCGAATTTTCCACTCTTGAAGGATCACTGCACTGGAAAATCTGTGGCTGGATCCCAAAAGCTGTTGGCGAAACAAACGAGTCTTCTCTTACTCGTGCTAAATTCCATTATCATCGTTTGGTAGTGGTTACTCTTAAGTTAGGATAAGTGGCCGACCACAATGACTAACGCTGACAAGTATTCAGCTCTTCCAACGGCTACCTAGATAAAGCGCTGAACATAGCCACCAGTAATGCAGTTCATGACACATGATCAAGACACTTTGTTACTTCCTCGGAAAACCCGTAACTCTTAGCTACTGCATACGAAGTATGGACAGACTCATTTGACCAGGTTTGAACGCTCTGAGTTGGGTTATATTCCTGGGACAGAGATGGATATAGTCTTCACTAGTATTGGCGCGAACTGCAAGCTCTTGAGCTTCGGGCAGATGATTCTGATTCAATGGTATCTATTTGTAATCATCACCAAATTTATGATTTTCACAGTGGGTATTCAGAATGTGGTTCAAGGCGCAAGAAGCAACACCTTCGAAAGGAGCATTAGTGTCTGACGGAGGTCCACCAAAGTGGGCTGCAGGCGAACTGTTACCACTTAGTTGTGCTTAAATTACTCGCAAAATATTTGTTGCGTCACACAACCGAAAACAGGAGCCATCTGCACAGGGCAAAGTGCAAAAAATTGCACTTGGTTTCCTGTAAAGAGTGCACATTTTCGGTGGTCCCTTTAAACTGTCCGTACCTAAAGAATGTGTGTTGGTTTCGCAGAGGCAAATCATCAAAAACGGAGTGCTAAAAGATATTCATTCGTTTAAACCCGAATCCCATTCTGCACGCAAAGTTGATCCAAGTTAAAAATCTGAGTGATATTTTACAGGTGTTTCACAAAGGTGGGAAACAACAGTGCACAACTAAGTGGTTCCTAGTACTTTTCGATCACGTGCGTTTAACTTGGAGCCAGTCGACGTTGCATCACGTGTTGAGAGGCGTATGACACTCCATTCGGTCCAGTTGCTATTTATGCTGCAGATCTGTCACTCGTTTTCAGCCACTGACCTGAAGGTCGCCGATTCGAAACTACTCAGTGGTTTGTGTGGTGTGCAACACTGACTAGTTCTAGGAGGAATGAAACAACTGTGAAGTGTTTTCTAGCTTTCCAGGATAGATCAAATTCGCTCAGAGTAATAAATTCCGAATAGAACATCCATCAATGGAGGCGGCCCAGGTTGACACAGTTTACATAATAGATGAGCATTCCCAAAAGCATGCGTATTCGGTCGTTAAGGGGGTCGTATTTAAGAGGCATAAAATTTGGGTAACTGTCAAAGAGGGGAACCGCCGTGCATTCGTTCGGATCATGGCGCATGATTTTGCTCAAGGGCACGTGCGGTGCACTACAAATATCAATCAGCCATGTGCTCACTTTTCGGTTTCAATTCATCCTCCATAGATAGGAGAAAACTAGTCCTCGATATGGCCTCTTGTTCTCCTGAAGCGTGTCTAAAGGTGATTCATTGGTAATGAACCAATCAACCAACGTTCTAACGGCATGAAGCACTCCTCAGGGTCCCAAAGTATGCATTATTATGTGATGTCAGCGGATCAGGTGATAGAAATGTACATAATTGTTTTTTCTGTGAGTGATTGAAATTCTTGGACAGGCTTTAAGGAAATAAGCAGAACTGGTCAATCCTAGATGATTGCAAATAAGTGTCAGCTGCTAAGTTCCGCTAAAGTTTAGCAACAGCAGTTCCTGCTGGTGAACGAAAACAGCTGAAAGACACTTTGTAATGGGAGGTTACGCACCACTGAAAAATCACAACCACCAGCGGGTATAATAACAATCAGGCAACAAGAAGCTATGAGGTGAGGTTAGAACCGAACTCCTGGCTCGGATGACTGGTTATTTGGGAAAATCTTCTGATTACACAGATGCCAGAGAGTTCATTCTAACAAGGGAATAGGAGAAACATCACGCTACATGTCCTATATTATCTCAGCAAGACGAAGGTCGCGACGCAATCACTCACGCTTGTCGAATTGCCTTTCCAGCGGTTGTCTGCCACGTCATGTCTACTATATACTTTCTCTACTCTTATCAGCACAAGCTTCCTAGCGAACAGCAAACAGGCAGAAGTGGTGAAGCAAACATCTAGCACTTCAGTTGAAGCACATGAATACCCTAATGTATGCGAGGTCACAGTCACTTCCATCCTTTCGGCACCCTGGCAGCTAACGAAACAACAGAATCAAAAACATCATCAGATGCAATGGAAGCTCTTTGCACTTTTGAACAAGCCGTTGTTCATTTTGTGGGAGTTTTATCAAATCACTGGGGGAGGGTGTAATGAAAATAGGGATTCCTCCGGTGCATGAAAAGTAAGCTTAGTGGAAACGACCAGTTAGGGAGTACCGATCAACAATCCAGAAGGAGTCAGTGAACAACTCGGCCTCCCTAATGCATCAATGCATACACATGCTATTTCCCACCAACACGGATAGGAATGGAGATTCTGTGACTACACCATAAATCGCAAGCCCGAGATAAAACAGACAGATGGTACAGAGACTGTCTAAGACATTTATGGGACGCTACGCCATTGAAGGTATTCGTACGTACACCATGAAAAGATGGAATGAAAAAAACTGTACAAAATATCTCAGTATGATACGGAATCTGTTCGTCAATTGATCAACATGCTGAATATACAGTGTAGACCCATCAAATGCAAATGGTGGATGTTATGACAGTATTATCAGGGGGCAATGCTATATACAAACTGTGGAGAACAGAAGTATCACGCTTAACAAACCAAGCGTACAGCAACTGTTGCGCGGCTCGATGAAATCAAACAACCCCAAATGCCGTCAACTTATGTGTTTCGTCTAACTCATTTGCATCGGAATCGCTTTTCGGTCGTCCCACTCGATACGGTCCAGTTCTGGACATCCTTGCTGTTTGATCGATGTGGTCTTCCAACTCAGGAAGAGGTTGCGGTTTGTCCTTCGATCCGGCAAGGCCGTTGACAGCCAAACTCTTTTCTTTTTCATGTGGTTGTTTACCGAGTGCCTCGTCAGTAATCAATGGGATTTGTGCCTGGTCGCTATGGCTCTTAAGAAGAAGATGTTTCTCTGCCGAAGGTTCCAGACAAGGTGAACAGAGCTCATGACGGTTAATTTCGTCAATGCATTTCAGTGAGGTTCTTCGAGACCATGCACGATAACACATAATTACAGTCAGTGCAATCAGGAGAAATGTCACACAAATGCCTACAATTACTAACAAATAGAGCCGCGAGCCCTTTTCAAACCCACCACGCAAGCTAGAATCCGTAACAGGGTCATAGGTTGACATCAACTGGTCGGTTATCTTCAAGGTGGATAGCTCCCAACTCTCGATTTTACGGATTGCCAGTCTGGGACAATAGGAGGAAATTGAGTAAGCCACTGCAGTGGGTGTTGGACGTTTGATCGCACGCAACTCATTCGGAAACGGGGACGAATAATTTTGTATCGTGCCACTTAATTCAGCCAATTTGATTGCTTGGCAGCGTTGTTTACTATCCGTTGCACCTACCAGGAATGACCGATAATCAAACGAATATGTATCTTGGGTGGTATGCTGCATACTACGTTCTGCATTCTCTTCATCTAACATGAGTCCAAACACACGGCTTTTTGGACCAATAAGAGCAAATGGTCCGTTTGGCCATGCAGCTCTCGCGTACCACAGTCCCAAAGACGTATGCCACATCTCAAACATAGTGTTGGGGGCAGGACCAACAACTAGGTCTGTGGGTCTTATTGGGTTAGGTCTTTGTGGGTTGCAAAACGTATCCACATCAAAATGCTGCCACGGATTTCCAGTCAGATTGAGAACTAGACGTGATCGCTCATGACGTGGTTGAGAATCGAACAAGCCCAGACTACGAGCAGTTAGGTGATTCATATGCGTCAGGTGATTCCAAGACAGATCAACCCAACGTAGTTCAAGACCCGATATAAAATCCTTTTGCTCATCAGGGTTTAGAGCGGAAGAGATACAGACGAGACGGTTGCCAGATAAATCCAATCGTTCCAATCGTTCAAGTGTTCCAAACACATCAGATGGTAACTGAACTAAGCGATTCCCACGTAGTGATAACTCACGCAAATTCTTTAGTCCGTAAAAGGATTGAGCCGTTAAGTTTCTCAATTTCAACTCATCCATATGTAAAATCATCAGTTGAGAAAAGTTGGTAAATAGACCAGGCACGGGACTGTCAAACCCACCATATGGAGCTCGATCTTCATGACTCATGTATAACTCGGTCAAGCAGGAAGAAAACGGTGAAAAGGCCTTCACATCAACCATTTGTAACGGGTTGTGACGTAGATCGAGGATGACAAGACTAGATAGTCCAAGAAAAGTATCAGCATCCAAAACGGTTAAAATATTCCGATCCAGGCGAAGTTCACGCAAACTGGCACAACAATTCCGGGAAAAAACGCCCGATTCGATGTAACCAATCTTGTTATCAGATAACACAAGCCGAGTAAGACTGTGCAGTCCTCTGAACACCTCCCGAGTTAGCGATCGAACGGGATTGGACCCGAGAACAAGTGTAGTTAGGCGAGTCCCGGGTGTCTCAAAGGCCCCTTCACCATATGTGCTTAGAGCAGGGTTGTTGGATAATCTGATTTCGGACAGGTTAGGGAATTGTGAGAAATCGGTGGGATTTAAGCGTTCGATTGCTGAATGTTGTATCACTAAAACAGACAAAGCACTCCGATTGCAGCTTTGAGCTTCAACCAACCTGTTTAAATCAGTAGCGTTAACGGGCTGCGGAGCGGTTGCCGATGGCTCGAAAGGCGCGCAAAGCGTGGGCTGTTGCAGCAGCAACTGTTCGATACTTGTCACGTTCACGTTGGTGCACTTGCATGCTCTCAGCTTCTCTTCACACTGACACAGCTCATTGTAACTGTTAACAGGTAGGATAGCAGACCACACTAGGGCTATGTACAACGGAGCGCCGAACGCCCGAATTAGTGCCCCGAGCAAGGAAGGCATCACACAATTGGCATGGAGGCAACTCAACAGGCACTTTCGTACACGGGCCTCCACGCGAAATGTCGACGAGGTGATCTGTCAGCCGATAGGTTATGTGACCTGCTCTCTGATTGGTCCAGCCTGTCCATCCATCTATTACCCACCAATCATGTCCGAATGCATAGTCGTAGCAAAACGGTGCTGCTGGTTTCACCTGACGAATGGGGTTTGGTATCGGCGAGGGGCTTTTGGCAGACAACCGTCTTCCCATAGTTCGGAAGAAGTTGATGAACCAGAGTGACCACAAAGCTGCCAAAAATTTGTGAGGAGTAAAAACCATACCATATGGTCAAATCCGAACGGTCGGTTATCTTTTTTACAGTGGCATTGTTTTTCGCGTAAACCACTTCAGTTCAGTAAAAAAAAATCAGCTGGTGGTAGCAATAGATTGTCACGCTACTGACTTACTGATTTTGCTTTTAAGCCATCCTGCACAAGTTGCAGTGACAACCGCCAGGTACGGCTTCATGATCATAAGCATCGTATGGTTAAACGAAAGCAACGAACTCAAATCCTATTTTTTTGATGACTAATAAGAGTCAGCCTCATTGAATCATTACAACAGTGCATATGCTCATTCGACTATCAAGGCTACAAGACGAAAGTGCTTCAGCTGCCACACCAACGTACAGTGGACACACATGAAGTGTGCTACTAAGCAGGAGAACGCATCTGAATGTACATGGGGCAATTTATGTGGTTGGCCCGGCTCCAACAACAACTGTTCTTTTTGCGGCAAAACTCGGGTTCAACGCTGCCTCCTATGATCACACCAGAGGATATTTTAGACCGCGTTGCACGAGAGAAGGCTGATAGTTCGACATGCTGCAGTAAAAAGCTCATCTTTCATTAGTCTCGACAACAGAAGAAATTAATGTATACCACTGGTGTGAGTCGTTTTGGCGTTCCGCTGTCATTTTTTTTATAAATGTTTACATTGTGTGAAGAAAACATATTATGTGGCCGCCGTTCTTTGGCGGCTTTCGGCAAGGCCGTTTTTATGCATCTATCAAACACAAAATATGGAATTTCACCAACAGGATTTTTCATACCACACCCACTATCGAAAATCAGTCTGATCTGTTTCACAACCACACAATGCAACCGCTGTTTCTGCCTATAACGTCGTATATCATTAGTCCTGAGCTTTCAGCGATACAGTAGCTTTTTCGCAGGTAAACATTCCGAAAAGCGGCCACATTTTAAGAGTCCATACCAAGCGTTCAATCCAGATTTCTGCGAGTTTTGCTATCCCGGGTGAACCACTTCTCCCTAGAGAGTTTGCGAATTTTTATGATCCAAGAAGCCATTTGTACCCATGGAGAACCACCGGGAATTTCATAATCTATAGGAAGATACAGCGACAAACCACAAGTTTCAAGATGCTAGTTTCGAACGATGAAAGTTTCCGACACAAGTCTCTACAGCTGAGCAGACCAAATAAAGGAACTCAAATTCCGAATCCGAATCATTTTACTGCCTTATCACGACCTTATCTCACGCCAGTTATTCTGTTACAGTTGAACATTGACGCTAAGCAGATGTTTGATACAAATGAAGGTTTTAATGACATTTTGAAAATGGCAAGCACAAGAATTCAGAAAGTTTAGCAGACGCTTCATAAACCTTGACTAACTCAAACAGTTTACTCTGGAGAAACAGAAGAAATTCATGTTTGACATAGGTTGGTACCTCTTGACAGTTTCCGTCTTTGAATGTAAATTGATTAAATTCCATGGCATGACTGAGGAAGTAAAGAAGAAACGTCACTACATCGTTTTGATTTTCCCTGTTAAATCGCCAATATTCACCTGAGGCGCTACACTTTTGCTTGTTGCCGAAACGCGCAGCCTGTACTAGCAGTATTTTCTTTCGCTCAACGAGACGAAAATGACTAAGCTGAAAGACGAGTGAATCTGATTGTCAAACACTGCGAATTGTTTAAAAGAGGTCCGCAAAGCGACCCATTTGAGCCTCGGAGAATCGTTTCTTACCGCATAGCATACGAACACAAACTGGGAGGAACTCGTTTTGTACGATCTAACCTACCATATAAATGCGCCGCTCTCGATGTATCGTTCGAATTGACCAGAAATGCAATGGTTTTCCAAATAAGTGATCACGGAGGCCTCTTCTACTGAAAACTCAATTTGGATAGTGATATACTCAAAACTGGAGTCGGAGAGAACTTGTGGTTTTTCATGACTCAGATTGTTCGGTCAAATTTTGCCGAATTACTTTCTTTCCTTTCTCCTTATAAGACTGCCCTTGTCATGACGGTTAATAGCTACCGGGAGACTATAGTATCCGACGCTAGTAGGATTTTGGCTAGGTGTATCTACAGCCAGCGTGCGATCGACCGGCTTAAAACATTCTGATCGAGCTCAGTGGGGAGGGATTACACTGCCACAGCAACATGCTTTCGGTGTTGCTCTGACGTAAACAACTCATTGTAGTAGCGTCCCAACCCTTGGACAAATATCACACACACAAACATGGCGAAAGAGCTGCTACACGCACTTAAGTAGGCCCTGGCGGTTCATATGGTGCCCGTCGTCTCTGGTGTAATGTCCCGTGACAATTGTTCGGTTACCAGTCGCATAATGCTAAGCGAAGAGATGTCAACTTCATCGCAGCATACGAATGTCAAACACAGTAGTAATGTGAAATTATCGTAGACAGTGGTGGACATTTGAAAGAAATCCTGTTCATTAAGCGTGGTTTGTAGTTTGTGGCATTCATAGAATGAATCAATGTTTGCGACTTTCCATACATGCACATTTGACTTCTTTTCTGCGAAGTCAAACATCCAATACTTTTTGACTCACGGGTGCAAGATCCTTGTCACCCAATGTACAATTACGACAATTTTATCTTGATAGGGATTTCTTAGCACAGAAGCCCTTTTGAAAGACGTGAGCTTGAGAATTCTGTGGCAATGATCGATTGTTTTCCAACTGCTATCTGCATCGCGCGTCGATTTTATACTCGGGGCTATGGTGTTGGCTCAGTTTCGGAGACTGATAACGCTAAAAAGCTCTTGCTGTCGGTTAATCCAGGAACTCAGAGCCACAATTTTAATGTTCGATTTTGCTAATTCCTCCATACTGAGGTAATGTAGTTGCAGCGTTTCGTCGAGGTTTCATTGTAACTAAAAAAACTTGCACAATTTTGACATAAGATTTTGCATTACACTACTTCCAACCAAGACGGATACCAGTAATCCGATATCCGAAAGGCCTAAAAGATTTTGAAATGCTCTAGCGAATGCCGTATCGTACTTGGTCTTCAATTTAGTTCTGAACTATATTGCGGTCAAAACTAACCATAATGTATTATATTGGATGGCAAATTCAACTGTGCCGTTGTTCTAGTGTCGAATTTTCGGATGAACTCCGATTCCAAAACAATAGTTGGCGGGGTTCGAAAAGTCTAGTGATATCGTAACATTGTGGCTGACTTCGCATGAATCTGAATCCCAGGTGGGTGTGTACACATGAAACGGACGGATCTTCAAGGTGAAATCTTGTGAGAAGTCTGGGCAGAGGAACAATCATGGTCAACCAAGGAAACCGGATTTCTTCCTACAAACGGTCGTGTTGGCGGAAAACACCGTTGAGACCAGCTAGACACCGTGACTAGCTGCATCAGACCAATCTGCAGGTCCAACAGTGTCTGCTACGAAGAGACTGGACCTTACCCCGATGTGACGGCTTGTGCCTTCGTGAACCACTGAGATATAGCGAGATAGGGGAAGCGACACCCGCAGAGTTTCTCAAAGCAGGTTGCGCAATGGGTAGAGGTCTGCAAGGATGGTCTCCTGATTCTCCAGGCTTGGGTCGGAATGTGGCGATATGCTCTTGGAAAAGGCCGATGCACTAGTATTTCCCAGCATCTGGCGGTCAGGCTTTTGAACCAAGGACACTAAACGTCCTGCTTTCTAGGTCTGGGCGCCGAGGCAGTACCTAAGGCCAGGTACAACCATGATAGCAACAACTAAAAATACCCTCATGCCACATCGCCGTCGCGTGGTGTCATCAATCGGGTAGACTTACCTGCAGCATACAGCAAGGCGAGCAAGCCAAATCGGGCTACTGCTGACGCCTCCATCCTTTCTCTTTCACACACTTTTCTCCCCCCTCTCTTCCACCCCATTGATGACTCTCTCCTCGTAGGACTAAAGACACCGTTCGCCTCACATCGGTTTGGGCCGCAACACTTGCGCGTCAGCCGGCGCCTACGGCCTCAGCCACCTTGAAATCAAGGTAGCGAAGCATCACTGTTGAAAACAGATTTTGTGCTATCGATAATTTTGATGATGATGATGACTGACCAAGTAAATTAGGTACCGACCACCCATGAAGCAAGAATGATAAGACCTGATAGATGACCTTGTACCCATGAGTGATTACACTCTGAAAAAAGATCACAGCAAACAACCGTAACCCAGGTAACAACGGAGTGTCGTACGAACAAAAAATTCAGGTCCCTGCCATGTTGGATAACGAGATGGGGGAAAATGGTGTGAAAATAAATGATCACAGGATGCTTTTGTAGCATTCGAGATGTTCACCAAAGCAACTAATCTGCAGCTGTCACAACATCCAAAACCATCATCACGATGAAGCCAATGATGGCCCAAATGGAAGTCCAACGGCCATTTCCTCTGGAAATGAAAAAGGGAACATGGCGTCATTTAGAGAGTAACTGCCTAGATTCATGTAGAAGACCGATCTCTCTGTCTATGTTGTGTTGCACAGAGTTTTTTTTCGTAAGGCTGATGCGTGCTGTCACTAGAATCACCAGTGATATCAGAACAAGAATTAATAATCGATCGTTTAAGCTGTATGAAACCACAGTATCTTACTCAGAACACCCAGGTAGAGCGGCTAGCGAAATTGTAACCGCGTTGGTTGTACATAACCGACGCTGTGATCAACCAGTAGCTGATGTATGCAGTCGACGGAAGGAAACTTTAAATATTCAAGCACGGCGAGGAACAGGTATTCGTAAAGTTGAACTGATCGGAACGTTCCGATTTAACCTCTGAAAGCTTTGGGGGATCTGATGTTGACTTTAATCCTCTTCGAGATGCCAAGGTTTAACACACACGCGTGGGTGATTGTGCGACTGGATAATACTTTTAGACCATAAACCACTGGTCTCTCGTTTGGAACCGCGCGCAGCAAAACGGCATTTACCGATACTGTTGTCATCTGGCAAATGGCCGAATAGAATGAACTGTCGGATATAAACGGCCATCTGGAAAATGTGAAGAGTCCAGAACAACCAGTGGACTGTGAGTAGCCGGTGTACCATTGAAAGGAAGAAGGCCTTCGCTGCGGAGTTATTTGTTAGAAAATGCCGAATGAAGTTACAGACTATTGGACAGGGAAGCAAAACTCTCAGCTGCATTTTATTTACAAAAACTGAATATTCATCATCTCTTGAACACGTCCTCCTGAACTTTCCTGGATATTCATTGACTGTTGCTAAAATCCAAGCAAATGCTACAAAGCGACTCCACAAAATCCGCAGCAGATCTTCTTTTTCAAGAGACGCAAAGCGAATTTGCAAAAAATTATACTACTCGCATGCCTCCCCATCAGTAGTATCACCGTTACACCATTACTGACCAATTCCTTCTTTCGGAAAGCGTTCAGCTAACCTTAAGATTGCCAACTGGAGATTTCCATTCAATCTGGACCATGCTTTGACAATGCACATGCATCCACGCAAACATTGCATTTTTACCCATGGAGGAGCATTTCTCGAGGGACAAACTACCAGCACGCCAGTGACACAGATCTCGGAAGTGAAGAGAATAGGCCCCGATGAAATAGGAAAGTCTTTTCTCCACAAATCCACCGGATGTATTCAGATAAGGCATTTATCCTTCCATCTACAAGCATGGAGGCTGAGTTCGACGACACCTAGCTTTATACACCATATTATAATCTACGCAAAGCAAACCCTAAATCGCTTGGCCACACTACTTAGTATGTTTGGTAAATATGGATGTTCCGGCAAGCCTGGCAATAACGGAGTTATAAATCTTGGACGGGGAAGAAAAAATTTGTATGATAAACCACAGGTGTGAATTGAAAGGACGAGAATGTATATTTAGGTGAAGCATCCCTGACCTCCATGTATCACTTTTCAATTAATAAAGGCAGTTATGTGGAGCTGAAAACTAAGATGACCCTGTTCAAGTGTCTACCTCACAGTGATTATATATCTCGCTCAGAACGCAATCCAGCTCAGTTGTCCAGCTAGATACGCGAGGGATTTGAACTTATCAGAGGTTCTCTCATGGACAAAAACCGGCCGAACTAGCTAAACACAGTTCTCCATCCCTATTGAAAATTATGAAGGATAAAAATCGAACTCGGAAATGTTACGGGAATATGCTTTCTCAGAGGGACGTGGTAACGTGTAAAGCTACCAGGTCCTACCAGAAAGAAGTCGTTAGGACAGTGGGTAGACAGAAGCAATATTGTGCCTAAGAAAAACTCAATAATGAGTTCATCTTGTTGCAATAAACAGTACACAACTTTCTGTTCGCTAGTATAATTAATTTCCTTCCGTATTGGGGTGTCGCGTGATCCACTGGAATCTCTCCATCTCCAGGATTAGAGAAAAATATCCTATAAAGATATGACGCGAATAAACTTAAAGCAATGGAGCCGACTGAGCTACACTGGAGGAAGAAAGCTCTATCACACAACACCGATATGCGCTGAACAACTTGACTGGAATGTGTGAGTGAATATGCCGCCAACGTAGAGTGGACTATTTGTGCACACGAAATCGGTCGCCAGTTCAGATACCGACCATCGCAGTCTGCCAGTTACTGCTCTGATAACTTGCCCATTATCCGTCGTCGGCACGAAAGGCAGGTGCGCGTGATATTCGGGTTGGGTGGTGGAACAGGCGAGCTTACCACCACCACCACTTCGGCCAGTGCCGACAGGGGCGGTGGCGACGAACTGAACGAATTCACGACACTGATCAGTCGTTTGTTTTTGACGATACGCGCACAACGACGCAATACATTCAGATTGTGCCCAAAGTGTGCATGCGTGAACCGGCACAACAGCTGTGTGGCCTGACTAGCGGACATGTGTGTGATTCCGCGTAAATGCAGCTGCGCACTTGGCCGCTACATTCGACAAACCTTACTCCAAACGCGCGCACATTGTCGCTAGTGCGCCTTTGTGCGGTGACCCAGATCGTATGACAAACCGCTTGCGTGTGTTCGCGTCCAAGGCTTCCAAAGCGTCGAACTGTTTTTGATTTATGGGTCAAACGACAGCAAAGCGTAAAAACGACCAAGGAGACTAAAAAACACAGTACCAAACGTGTTTAACGTCACGAAATTGGTCTGGTGAAAGGTCCTTTTTTTTAATTATTCAGTTTGACAAAAAAACTCATCTCATCAGTAAGAAAATCAAATCAATAATTCCTAGTTTGCAAGAGAATAACCCCCAACAGTTCCGAGGTATTGCACAACAAACAGGGTAGATAAAGACGTACAGGTTGCCGGCAGTACAATGAGGACATATGCGTATACTGCTACCATCCTCATCTAAATTAGAAAAATTCTATACTATTGGTGCAATTTGTTTTCTGCAGCATGGAATCCGCGCGTTCCCCCCGTATTTGTAAGAAGGGCGCTATTATCTCTCACTACAAGTGATTCCAGATAGTTGAACGAAGCTCTCCAGCTTATGCTCTTTATTGTAGGATTTCTTCAAGACCACCCCGCATTTTTATACACACGTTCCCGAAAGGTCAACATAGTTTCCGATGTCATAGAACATACACCAAGTAGTTCCGTGAAGCACTTCTAACTGAGTATAGCACAACTGGAAAAGTTTAGTCCCAAAATACACGAGGCATGTCTTTGACTTTTTGTGAACTAGTGAGGTGTAATGTGAAGCGGATTAACCCGAAAGATACTGTCTGATCAGAATTTAACGTAGTTTTTTTGGAAATGTGTGGCAACGGGAAACCCACTTTTTCCTTTGGGAGGTCGGTTAATCCATGCGTGAAATGGTTAATAATTTCAGGAGAAGGTACTATGAAGGCGTATATGTACCCTCACAGGCAGCAGACAGCATGCGGATTACTACCTTTTTGAGCTTCTGATGGCAGAAAGACAGTTCATATCAACCAGCAACAAAAGTAATTCCAGTATACAACCGCAAGCCAACAAATATAAGCGTGAATTTGAAAGAAAAAAAACAGCATGAGGACGATACACAAGAAGACTGAATCTAATGGAGGATCTGGGGAATACTTAGTCAAAATATTGGCTCCAAAATCCTCGTGTCAGCTGTAACCAAGTGTACGTGAACTTAAACAAATGAAAACAACGACCAAATAATAAAATATGGACTTGGAGAGAAGTAATGTCTTGGGTAACCGGTAACCAGTTCTTGAAACCACAGCCGTTCGAAAATCCCAAGCACGTGGAGGACAGAATCAAACTGTGTTAGTTTGTTTTTGTTGATGTCCAGTCAGACTGCCGAAAGTCATCGGCGGTATCGAAGCAATATTAAGACATTACACCAGCAATCACAAAAGAAGTTATGAAATACAAGATCACTAATTAGTGCCATTCAAATTTGAACGCCCCTGATGGGCTTAAGAATAGGAGGTTACCCCGACATACATCTTGAAAAGGTACCATGAGTGTGGGGAGAGTAAGGTGCTCCACTTTACTCGAACCCCTATTGTCGCCAACTGTATGATGAAAATGGCACAAAAGACTATGGGTGTCCAAAATGATTTCGAAAAACACTTGGGTAACTCGGACCACGTAGGTAGTTGTTTTTGAAACAAAAATTAAAAACTTTCATAAAGGAAACTACTCACAAGGTTGCTGAAAACTCTTCAACAGCCCCAACCTTGAGTAGCTTCCTTTATGAAAATATACTGCGACATCTTGAATATTGTGCCAACTGAAACATGAGGCGGTCTGTGTACACCACATTCAGTTGTAGAACAGCATAAACGAGAGATTCAGTTGAGTCTCTCGTGAAAACCAAATTTATTTGCAAATGAGTGTATTTCTCGAAAAAGCGAAAACCTTCCTAGCTAGACAAGCCGCGATGAGTTCGTTTTTCGGTGTGTGCTTTTTACCCGAAACAACTGATCTGATAGAGGTTTCTTTCGGTTGGCGTGCAATACTAAGTATGTGAGACATGCTCATTCCACTTGCTTTATACGGACGATGAATCGTTATTTCTCACTAGCACTAGTCCGATGGCCAGCGAAGGCGGTTGCGCAGCCAAGCACTGTCAAACTGTGGCAGCCGTGTCATGTGCAAGGTTATCATACAATCAGAAGGGCCCCAATTACTATACGAAAATAAGAGCGACAGCAGAGCACAAAGAGGTCTGGCTGCAGTCAGTAAGAAGCTTCCTTCCAGACAGATGCTGTGACGGTGATTGCTTGTGAATAGTGACGTAACTCCCTGGCATGAAAAAGCCGTCGAAATCAATGTACTGCAGAGGGTTATTGACCTCAACAACAGCCTCTTTCGTACGACAATTAAACATTTGCACCCGATACAGATGTTGCTAGCTGCATGAGTGCTTACAAAAAATAACATCATGCTGGCGTGATTCATTTACCTGTGCTGAGCTTCTGGGATGACATCATCAAAAACAACAAAAAGCATCGCTCCGGCGGCAAATCCAAGCGCATATGGTTGCAACCTGCGGAAAAACTGTACCGCAATGCAGCCAAGAATGCCTGCAACCGGTTCGACCAATCCAGAAAGCTGCCCTAAGCTATAAAAGAGGAAAACCGAAGGATACATAGAACACAAACTCATGGGAAAGTGGAAGTTGAAAAATACTTCCCTTATATACGTGAGACATGCGAACGAAACGAAGTTGGTTTACATCTAATATTGCCATCTGAAATCAACAAAGCCTAACTTCGCTATCAAATTTAGAAAGTTGTGGTGAGAGGACAGAGGTCTGGTTCAAATAAATGCTGTGGATCGAAAGAACCAAGAACGAACCGGGTCGCTTTCACGAAACCTAGTAAATAAACATAAAACGAAGATTCTGCGATCATTGTGTATGGTCACCGTTGCTCTGTGATCTCGCTGGCAATCCGGAGAATCGCGAGCTCTCTGCATACCAATTTTAACGCTGTCTAGTTGAATTGCACAAAAACAGCTATGTACAGGCAATGTACAGATGAATATTAGAGGTCTCTGTGCAGCATATTCACTCGAGGAATATCGTAAACGAGAGATTCACCTGACTCCCCCGTGAAGACCAAATTGATATGCAAATAAGGGTATTTGTCGACATCAGTCCAATTTGGGTTCAAGTAGAAAATGAGAGAATCTCGAGGACTGCGTCTGCCCAATGAGCCCCAGTAGGGGAGAAACCGATTGTGGGCTGTCCAAGAGGTTCCAGTAACCTTGTGAGTAGTTTCCCTTATGAAAATATATTGCGATATCTTGAAAATCGTACCATCTATTACAGGAGGCGGACGTGGTGCAGCACGTTCATTTGAAGAAGAGAGTCAGTTGAGTTCCCTAAGAAACCCAAATTGATGTACAAATGAGTGTATTTATTGAAATAGTAAAAACCTTTCTCGTATCGTTGTCATGCAAACCACATTTGTCGGTAATAAGCCGGTTGAGTAGAACCATATAACGGATACACATATTATATGCATATCTATATATGTTTAGTTACATAGTAAACATATATTTTGTCGACCTCGGTGGTAGATATTAGTGGATATAGCACAATTCATGATCTATTTTGAGGACCATCGCGGAAGACTTGAGGTGGGAATATAGCATTCCGACTTTGGTCAATTATGAGTGACAGTTGAGACCGTAAGACATTTATGGTCTCAAATTCCTGATAAGGGCATACAAAAGAGCATACACAACATATGGTGGCACATTTTGGTTGTTTACCGTTCACCTGCAACTCGCGGCGGAGGCGGGAATAAAACTGCTTAAGAACATCATAAACGAGAGATTCAGCTGGGTCCCAGGTGAATCTCCCGTCAAAATCAAGTTTATATGCAAATGAGTGCGTTTGTCGAAAACTGTTTCAGCTAGCAGCCGCTCGGGTTGAACCAACCTGGATTATTTGTTGAAAATCCCTTTCAGTAACACCGGACCAGAAATTCCTCAAGAGCTGGCACTTCTGATGACAAAGATGAAATGATTCGGTAAAAAATTCTCCCGAAAATGTTACCCAGAGCTCTTAAGAACACATAAACGAGAGATTCAGCTGGGTCCCAGGTGAATCTCCCGTCAAAATCAAGTTTATATGCACATGAGTGCGTTTGTCGAAAACTGTTTCAGCTAGCAGCCGCTCGGGTTGAACCAACCTGGATTATTTGTTGAAAATCCCTTTCAGTAACACCGGACCAGAAATTCCTCAAGAGCTGGCACTTCTGATGACAAAGATGAAATGATTCGGTAAAAAATTCTCCCGAAAATGTTACCCAGAGCTAATAATGATCCACACCTCTTAAAGTCCACGAATCAGCACAGTAAAAATGGTGTCACTCTTTGGATAAACTTACAAGAAACTCTTGGCAAATCCACATCCAGCAGCATTCAAAGGTAAGCTAACCGCCAGACCCTCTGGAAAATTCTGAATAGCTATGCCGATAGCAAGGTTTCTGTAGAACAGAAAAATAAAGACAGTCATGTTCGGAATTCAGCAACGTTAAGACAGTCCATATCTGCTCGAATGAAACCCACAACAGTGGAAGACCCGATCCGGACCAAATCATGCGATTCTCTAAAAATTCCACTCTTCGACGACACCTACACAGACGTCCGTGCTCATAGTGGGCGCTTCCCGCATTACAAGCATCACTTTACGGATGGAACGCGGCAAACATTTATTCGCCACCGAATAGGTCCACATTTGCGAAGTGTCTATGTACTAACTCACTCTTGAAGGGCGAAATTTGGCGTTAGATAGAACCAACAGATGAAAACGAATCGACCTCATTAACAGATCAGTTTGGAAACAATGAGATCGGATCAATCAGATTTACTATATTAACGATAAGTTCAACAATATGATGAGTGTTCATACAGCAAAGCACTGTGCGTAGAAGAAACTCAACCCCACAGAGTCGATAAGCGGATAAACGAATCAAGCTGCAGGTTACAACTCTGTGGGGAGGAAGGACGTGAACTTGGAAGGGTGTGTCGACAAGAAGAGTGATCTGCTAAATAAGTAGAGAAAATGGTGGTACATCAAGAATTAGTCAGTATTTGGTGAGTTTCTTCTAGAGACTATTGATTCTGCGAAAATAATGCGATTTAGAAACTGTTAGAAAACAACTTCAACATTTTAAGCCGGCACAGTGGTACACATCGCTAACCGCTAGAGCGAAACCCGCTGGTTTGTCAAGCATGTATAATCTATCTGTCCAATTATCTATCCAACGAATTCGCGGAAAATGGGACGAGGTACCATTGGAAATCGAGACCTGACCATGTCATTACGCAAAGCATTCTGAGCCTAGAGCCAATCTTCCCCCACTGAGCGGATTTAATGTATCTAGTCCCATAACTACGCCTTACTACTGACTTTCCACAAGAGTGGCTGCTCTTCGGCATGGGATCAGTTCATTAGGTTTGCAGGGAGAACTATGGGATCGAAAGACAAACCGTTCTCGAAAAACCACACGTTAATTGTCTCATCGATTCTATCGCAAAAAGACCAACGTATATTTTCGAGGCCTGCCTTATGTCAAAACCAAAAGGTTACAAAGGTTTGGAATAGAAAGTTGCAATAGCAGACACGTGAATCAGTGGATGTCGGAGTTGGAACAGACAACCTAATATGAGCTGCTGCCATTTTTCACGAACCGACTGATTCGCTTTCAGGCATGTGGTACTCGGCTTTCGGTACTTACTGGTTTTCTGAATTCTACTTACATGGTGCCGCATGATGACTCACACCAGACTGTTGTCTAGGCTCCGTTGAATTTTCCCCGACTAAGCCACGCCATAGGCGCCAACACTTCAAAGTTCCCATTCTGAATTGTGTCAACGCCCTGGAAAACACTACATTTCAACCTGTTCCAATTTTTTCCACTTATCAAACAGGAATGACTAAGTTAGCGACACAACTTTCGGAGTGAACCAAAAGCCGCCGGTCCACTAAAACCCCGTCATTTTGACCCGAAAGCGGTGTTACTTGTGGTATGTTCGGCAGCTCGCTGTTGTTTGGCTAACGGACACATTCTACCTGAGTGATCGAAATGTCTTAACCCGACTGAGGCTGAGTGATAGTGCGAAGAAAGACCACACACTTCAAGCATGAGTCCCATTCGTCCATTATCTGGGACAAACCGACGACCAGTGGAAGTATGATAGTGTGGGCCACTAGTAGTGAAGTGTTCTTAGCTGCAAAACCTTTCGGAATGAATAAAACTTTCTGCGCCAAAATGTTGTATTTTGTTTCATATGTGCTCAAACCAAGAACCATCCTAATTTACATTCACATTTTAGCGGCTCACCAGATTTCATTTTCCACTGAAGCAATCATACATCTGGAGGAAAAAGTCTGGTGGAATACTTGCCCAGCATCGCTGAGACCCCAAGATGCCTGGATAGGGCTCAAAGGTTTGGACTGGTACTCTGAACGCTGTTGTCTGTCGTAGCTTTCGAAAATTCAATTTCATTGGGCGAATACTGAACGTTTCTGAAAGCCGTGTGATTTGAAGGCAAGCTTTTTACGCCAATCCCCGAACGGTTTGAATTCGGCATCGACTAGTATCTATTGCACTTCAGCAAGTCGTCAGCCAATCGATGCGGCTGTATGAGGACCTAGAATCAGGTCTGGTCACCATGACCTGGGTGCTGGGCGTGAGGTCCAATGAATGTTTCATATGAATCGGAGATGAGAGTCACTCTATGCTCAATACCACCCTCGAGAGGGATAGGTTCGAAGGCAGCCTGAAACATCACCACACAGCTGCATCCTGCTTATGTCGCCTCACCACTGTCGGGCCAACTGACACATCGACGTGACCCAGAGCTACCTACGCTCTTCAGCCGGCAAAGTAGCAGACAAGACAAGAACCTCTATTAATTTTCAGTCATGGTCGCTGAAGGTCAACGGCTGATTCGTCAGGTGCTTGAAAGTCGGAAAGAGGGGAAGAAAATCGCGGGACTACTTGGTGAGAAAGAAGTGACAATCGAGTACCTAACCAGTTCCGCTCGTAGATCTGTTCTCCTTCTGTTGTAAACCCTAAGGTTTCTGAGGTGGTAAAAAGGATCCTTTCTATGTATCCAAACACTTAATGTTGTGGGGAAAACAGGATACTCCTGGCGTACACACTTCGATGTTCTTCAGCGATAGTAGTTTCAGCTGAATGAGACTGTAAGTGAGCGGGTACAAATTTACAATAGAGATCTCATAGGGATCTGCAGATCTAAAAATTACCTAAAGCATTTGGGTGCTACATGCTGAAACAGTTGTGGTCGACCGGTACGAGTGCTCATGGTGATGTGGACATTTAAATAATATCTTCTAAATTGATCAACCAAGCGTTATCCCTCCACTAATTCAGACCACGAAGCACATTAAACAAAGAACAGCATTGAACGACACAGCATCAACCAGATTACATATCCGAATGCTTGACAAAGGCAGTGAAGCACTCAGCTGACGAATGAGCTAATGTAGTTCAAATGGTATTAGAAAAAAGGTGCCATGTGCGCTACTGATTAAAACGAAAATTTCTACGCCAGCGTACAACCGACCTGCGTGTGCAGCCTTCAGATTAAGCTGTCCATACGCATTTTTGCTTAGTGTGCGTTCAATGGGAATGTTCTGGCGCATGAGGTAGGTGACGGCGAGGCTTTACTCTTGACAAATAAATATTAAGGGTACTGAAAACTTTGCTTTGTACAGATTTCCAGCGAGAGAGTACGAAGAAAGGCCAAGCAATGGACCTACACCTTTCTTTCTCCAAAAAAAGATTCAATAACCCTTACTAGAAGAGTGGTGAAGAGTGTAGACTCCTTGGCGGGGAACCCAATTATCAAGGATAGCCACTAGTCTGGATCAGGTAAACGCTGTGTTGAAAAAAAGACAGCTGAGTGTCATCGCGACGGATTCAGGATCAAACGTAATTATTTCGGTTCAAAAGCACCGGTAACTCGACACTATTACGTGGAGCAGCACCTGAGTGGTGAAAGGAAACAGCGACTGCCAACTACCTTGCATTGGCCAACGTTGACCGAGCATGATGACCTATGCCACCGAATGCAATCCCAACTGCCAACCCCTCGGGAATATTATGGACGGTTACTGCTATGATCAGTAACCATAAACGACGGTTCATCACGAAACGTGGGGTCAAATCAGACAGCCGACAGTGGTTGCTATGCGACACATCAAGTCGATATGCGTCCGCGATTCCTCCATTTACCGTCTCACCATCACCATTGGGGGATGATTTCTTCCGCAACTTGCGTACTACTTCCATTCCGTCGTGCGAAACAGAACAGGTCGCCGCTACAGAAAAGAAAACAGAAGATGAAAGATTTAGGTAGTTACCAAGACAACCTGCCGGCAATCAGTAATGACAGCAACTGGGCGTTGGTAGTTTGGTGAATTTTGACGGGCAGCACTCTCTCTCACACACATCCAAGAGCGGAAAATTGTGTTTCAGAGGTTAGCACTTCGTAAGACGACAGACAAATGTTACGTGCGCAAAGTAGCGAGGGTAAAATAACTGACGGAAACACAAAACTATTACGTTCACACCGTTGCCTAGCTTGTACCGCCATTACATAAAACGATGAAGTCAAGCAGACAGTGGGGACCAGATGCGAACAGGGGACGGGGCGAAAGAGCTGGTAGCCTGAACAAGAGGGTCTGAAACGCCCATGGAATGCTTTGAAGGTGCAGCGTAGGAGACAAAGGGTTGATGCGGCATAGGATGATAAGTGTCGGCAATCTCCAAAAAAGGTTAACAAATGGGAGTATAAGAAAATTTATAGCCCTATTTGCATCAAAAGTTTTTTTCAATTTTTTCAGAGTAGAGCGAAAGGAAGAATGGTACATGTGATCATCAAGTTAAATTATTCTGACAGTAACCGTACCGCTTATAAAAAGTGCATCTTTAGCATATTTTTTTATCGCTGGAGACGGAACCCAAATTAAAGTAAGTTCATGTCCCTTCCAGAAATGAACATGATTGGTAGGTTCAAGGATAAAATAAAGGAAAACTGGTGTGAACCTTCTCGCTGCCTTATCTAATCGAGGCAAACAAGGGGATCTATCCACCCACTGTGACCTATATATATATATATACCGCATGCTCATAATCGAGTTGACGCGGTCAAGGCCAACGAGAATGTCAGATTATTACTGAAGTCTCCTACCATTATAGCCAACCGCTGCATTATTAAAAAAGCTGTAAGTGGTGTTGTCAGCATACCGTTTCGGATCCAGAAATGAGCAAAAACAATGGCTTAATCTGAAGTCGTACAACCCAAGGCTATGTGGAGATGGCCAACATAGCGTAGCAGCCAGACTAACGAAACGAGTTAGACGAAATCCGAAAAGTCACGATCGAAAAGGTCAACGGAAAGTCAGGGGTGAAGTGAACAAAAAACAAGGGATCCTAGGGGTGGTAGTGAAACAGAAGAATACAGTTCACGTAAAAGAAAGGAAGGTGACAGTTCTGGCGAGAATCCAAAAATTAGGCACGCTTATGAATTTCTTAATACTCAGGAACGCAATCAAACTTTCACAAAAGGAAACAATTTGTCCCACTTAATCTGTTCTTCTATGAGGCTTCTGATTCCACAAGACCAGTGGTACTGAACCTTATTCGAACAATGTAACTTATTTTCCATCGGTTTGGAGAACATGTTACCCACTCGAAAAGCAGATCACAACATCAAGCTTAACAAAACATGTCGGTTGGAGATTTTACGAAGATCAGACGTCATATGTTCTAGTGGCATTACATTTTCTCCTTACGAGCACCCCATCAAAGTAAACATAAATGAATTGGCGTGTAGAAATCCTAGAAACAAGTGGCACCGACAACTGGTAATTTCTGATACCCGACCATCACCTATGAATCAAAGCAACTGTTTGCGTGCGGAAGCACAAAAAAGAGAGATAGGACAGTGTGACAGGTCCCCGCTAACTGATATCCAAAGAAAAAGAACCTCGAACTAGAACAAGCTGCAGGACGCTCAGCTGAATGAAGGTGAACATCCTCACGTGAAATCATAAACTCCACGAACAATTCCGTATTTCGACTCACGAAAATAGAAAGATATAACCATAGATTTACCTTATTTGTACTGCAGGACTTTGAATTTTAGTGTATACCGTAAAAGCTTATGGGAATCAGTTAATCAATAAAAAGACGCTCATTCAAAACACAAACAAGCAGAAAGTTGATTTGTTATTCTGACGTTCGCTAACCAGGAGTTGTTCTTGTTGATGAGATCTACTAAAGAATTAGTTCAAGGGCAAAACTTAACGTAAGACTTTGTATGTTGACCACCCGTGATCGGTGCACCCATCGGTAAAATAATGTTTAGGAAAATAAAAAAAAATCTCTTCTAATAACAAGTTCAATGTCCCTGAAGCTTGCAACCTGGTACGTTTGCTAGGTAGGGCCCCACGATAGCGCCACAAACTGAAAAACTTTCATGGCAAACAAACTAAGCAGCATCAGATAACGTCAAAAATAAAGGCGAAAGCCACCGCAGGCGAGGGTGTGCAGAGGGGGCCAGGCGCCTTCGAATAAAACAAAACAAAAGGAACCTGTAAATTAGAGAAGGAGAGCGGATAAGTGTTGAGCAGCGGTATTCTCCGACAGCTGAATGTTATTATCGAAAAACTTAATGTCTTACTTCACCCTCAGAAAATAATTTTAATGTGTAGTTAGGGGACTGAATTGGGATTTTTCAGGTGAAAACCCACTGGGGTACTCGGATTAACTTAATGCCGAAAACAGATCGGAATCTGTCTCGCTATAAATTATCCAAAGTGTCAGATAGCCGAACATTCGTGAGCGCATATGGTTAAATTATATAAGATCAGTGGAGAAAGGGTTTCCTCTTTATCCTTTTTAGGGTGAAGGATATGTTTCTGCCACAAAAATTCGTTTTGACGTTTGTGATCTCATGCATCAGATTCATCACCTCCAGTTTTCACCCAGCCTCTAAGAAGACGACTTCATGTCTATTGTACAACCCACTGAACTCTGATCCAAGCGTAGCATTCTAATCAAATCCGAATTTATGGGACCCATGGGCTCTGGGGGCTTTGCGGTCCACACCAGTTTAGTGGATGCTCCTGACGTCCGAATGCTCGAACTCTGAAACGCACTCCAACTTATGGAAATTTCGCGCGCAAGTCTGTGAACCGTTGCCTCTTCATCTTTTTTTACTCATGCATTACTTTTACCTGCAGCAAGAATACCGAAAATCCATCACCCGATGCTTCAGCAGACTGGGCCCAAACGGAGACAGACATCGGTGCACACTTTCAACTACTTCTAACTCGTCAGTAGCTCAACTAGCGTGCCTCTCGTTAATGGAATAAGCGAGTGACGCCTGGGACCCATTGTAGCATGCAAATAAATATCCATTACTAGGTGTATAGACCATGCTCTTCAAAAATAAATGATAAAGAATATTTGTAATAAAAAATAAACTACCAGCAGGAAACGGAATTAATGGGTAAAGAAAGTACCCAAATGAAGAATTAGACTGAACGTAGTGGATGAACTCCGTAATACGTGATTTTCCAAACTGCTGCGCAAATAGTGTGCAATATCGGGAAGATTTGGTCTCATTTGCAAGGAGAGATCTTGGTAGTGGATCTGAAACGATCAGCACAGCCTCGGTATCCCGTATAAAGATGCGACGCTAGATGGGGCGTAAACGTCGTCTAAAATTCATCTGCTCCCACCTTGATTTATTTTGACGGAGTAAACACACACAGGGCGACTAATTTTGGCTTGCAGTCAAATACCATTTAGTAACAATCCATATTGTGCAAATAAAATTTCTAATAGTATGGTTCTTTTCTTCGTCTTTCCAAGTTTGCCAGTAAAACACGTATCTCTAAAGAAAATACCTTTCAAAGCCAAGAACGTATTAGACCGTTGGGTACATTTTCTGCTTTCATTATACTAATGTACAATACAGAATAATTTTACAAGACACATTTTTCTGAATACCCCGATTCCAACTAGAACAGCCCAGTAATTGGTAGGCAGATCAAGTAGACTTACAAAAACTTGGGGATGCTTGTTGAGAGAGATACCGTCCCTCGATGTTTCCCGAATAGACTACAGGGGCAAGAAGAGGCGTCAGCCACTGTGAAAGACAAAGCAGTAAGCAAATCTTTTGGAAAAAGAACTTGCAAATTATGCAACACGGCAAAGACATGCCGTAGAGAAACACACAAAGCGACGAATGGAAACAATTCGACCAGATGTGGCAACTCTCCACCCACCATACCACAAACTCTATCAAAATTGATCAGCATAAAAAGACAACAATCCTGTACGATGTCATTGAGAAATACAGCCACCAGCCTCTTGGTCTAGATGTTTTTCACTATGGCGTTGGCAGAAATTAGCCTCAAGGATGCAGGTAGTTACTACTCAGGCGAACCAGTTTTTAGAAAATAGACTAATGGTTTCCTTCATAGGACTACTCATGAGGTCAACAAAGACTCCAGAAAGCGGAGTACCACAAGGTACGCTGTGAGACGAACTCTACCACATCAGGCGATGTCGAGCAGAGGCTCGACAAATACAGAGCCGGGTTAGGGTAACCACAAACACCAAACTGGTGGTAACAAACAGTTCCTCTGTCATTGACAAACAAACTTGTTTGCCCTGAAGAGGGATCACACGTAAGTCATTCTTCAACACAAAAAGTGAGTAATGGTGTGGGTGATCTAGAATGGCACATTTGGTAGAGATAATTATCCGAACAACAGTGCACACGCCACTCTCGGCTGACGTTTTGAAAAGACCCCGAAAAGAATCCCAAATCTAGAACCTGAAAGGCTGATTGTTTTCCTACAACCAGGGAACGCACGCCTTCAGAACCCGGATGCTATGAACTTGAATTGAACAATAAGATTCTATACTGGGGCGAGATGGCTTAAGTGGTTAGAGCGCGAATTTACTGACCGGAAGGTCCGTGGTTCAAACCCAATCTCTGCCTCTCGACTTCCTCTGTCTAGGCTTGAGTAACCTGACAGTACTCCAGCCCCCGTGCCTCCTTCGGGTAGCAGCTAGGCACCGAAAGGGTAGTAAAGCTGAACGATACTGCATTAAATCCGTCTGGCATGCAAGAAAGCTGGTGCAGATAGCTTCGAGCCAAGTAACTCAGAGGATTTGATTTTCGACGGGTCCAAATGGTTCTGCCTAACAAACTACACACTATCGAGCTTAGGATCGTGAGCAACCAGAGATCAGAAATTCAACAAAAGACAGTAAATAGTGAGGCCCGCTATTCTGTGTGATCGAATCGCTTATCTTATATTGCTCTGATGTTAGCATAACCTTCCAAGTAAAATAAGCAGTAATACTCGGTAACCAAGAGTGTGGCATCAAAGAACATTACAATGTAAATCACTCAAATCACTTCGATATCCAGGATTTTGGTCAACGGCAGTCGATATGGAATTAGAAAGCAAACACACAACCATGAGTTGATTCGGAGAAGTTCGAAACGTCTTGTGTTTTTTTAAAGTGCGGTTGTTATAAAACCAAAAGGGGCTAACAGACCTTGTGGTAGCTCAGATGTCAGGACAGGAAACGGTCAAAGAAACAGCAACGAGTGCTTTAAAAAAAAAGAGAACTCACATCGATAGGTAGGAAATACGACGCTGACCCAACAAAAGCAGCCCCTAGAATTAATCCAACCGTGACTGGAAACACCGCGACTGCTCCCCAGTCTAAGTCGTCTTTTGCCATTGAAAGAGCGGGATCCAAGAGAGACCAGAAGGAAGCAGCAAGCATAACCTATTAAATAGTTGAACATAGGGTAGTTTGCGAGTATAAAGACAACAGGCACAACTACAAAAAATCATACAGCGTTGCTTACTCCGGCCGAAAATCCGAGACTTCCATCTAGGAGGAGGTGCTGAATGAAGAGAAGTGAAGGATAATATGTTTGTCTGTCTCACACACAGAGAGATCACGATTTGGAGAATTAACACTCCTAAATCTAAATGGAAAGTGAAATCTCGATGAATTAAAATCGGTACTTCTGATACACCGAATAAACTGTTGCCGATTCTTACGTAGCTTGTATGCCATGACTCTCATGGTTCTCCGTATATGCTATTTCCAGGGTTCACGTTCATTTTGCTAAAGAGTTGCCGAGTCTTATGTAGCTGGTATGCCATGACTCTCATGGTTCTCTGTATATGCTACTTCCAGGGTTCACGTTCATTTTGCTAAAGAAGCCCATTTTTTAAAGCTCGATTCTACTTATAGGACACCGCGAATACGCCCATGTTCCCGAACTATGATATATTTTACCATATAGCATTATTCGCGCATCTCGCGAAACTCCGGAGAGTCTCGAACCCGCGACCTCCTGGCTTGTAGTTTGAACACTTAACCGTTCGGACACGAGCGGCTGACTGACACAGCAGTTCGCTCTAATAACCCGGACGGGGTTAGCACAAAGGACCCTGAATTAAAATAGACTGACTTACAAAGTATGTTGTAATCACTAGCACTGAACTAATGAAGCCAAAACGAGCAGTGCATGGCACCAGCTCCTAGCACTACACAGCATTTGCCTCAAAAAGATACACTATCGGCAGTGTCTGAGCTCGCCGTAAATCGTGACGGCCAAAACGCTCTTAGGAGACAGAAGATTCTGGAACCACAGCAAGTTCCCTGATGTAATAGTCCGATTGTGTGCGAAGCGAGTGGTACACCGGTGCGCAAACTATGAAAACACTTACAGCACTGAAGAAACGCTCTGATCTTCAGTTTAACGGGCCACCTGGTCTCCCTCACAGTGTACTTTGCCACAAAATCAGAGGTTAGACACAGGATCGTGGCCTTGATACAGGATTGACACACCTAAACAGCTTGTCATGACAAAAATGGACCTTACCAGTGTGATGGTTTGTGCACCTCCACAACCAACGCACGAATCTTAAAGACCAGAATTGCTTTCATCAACTTGCGGCACTTGTGGAGTCAACAAGGCATATCACTGTGTACCAAGGGACATGCACACCAGACTACAGTGCGAGCTACATTATTATATGGCTACTAAACTTGGTCACTTCAGCCGAAGGATATGAGACATCTCCACATAGTCGACCACTGGTGCCTGAGAGCTATAGTTGGAGTCGGTTGGAACCAGAGAATTCAAAATGAGGTCACTAGGAGATGAGTTTCTAGTGAAGCAGACGGTAATTCACTTGAACAATACATCTAGCATTGCAAACTAAGATGGCTGGGTCATGTATTACGCATAATGAGTTACCGTCTGCCGAGACTAGTACTGTTTTTCGTGCCCGATTCGGAGTGGCGAAAACCTAAAGATGGACGGAATTTGACATGGCAGAAGGGAATAAAGGGTGTTACGAAATGCTTGAGTGTTGTTGGCCTTCAGGGATAAGGTCCACGTGACCCTCCCGTGGTTGGCTGGAGACTGGACGATATGGCGGCTAGCCGATGTCGGTGGCATTCACGCTCACTTTCTCTCAGGATTGTCTAGCGGAGTACTGAAGGTGCAGGCACCTCAGATGTTTGTGGTAGTCTAGCCCTAAGTCCACTTCCCTACCCCGTCTCTTTCTTTCTTACATTAAGAGGTTCACATGTTTGTACGGCAGTGAAGCACCAGTGTTCTCCTGTGTTGCTGTCAGTGGTGGTGACGATGAGCTAGCTTTCCTAGGTGGCCAACGAGTAAACTGCCAGCCTGTCTGACATCCGTTTTCCCAACGTGAGCTGTTTACTGACAGGTCTCGTGGGAACATTTCAGCGCGGTAAAACGAACGGCCTCCTTCGGTTCTTGCTGTCTCCGACCACATCGAGGCATTTGAAGGCTTTGAAAGCAATCAAGGAAAAAAAACGCAAATTACAGATGTTTTCACAAATTGGGCACTGCTTCGCAAAAGACAACTTTATCAAAACCAATGCTGCCGTTTTTTCAACGCCGATTCCAGCTACTTCTGATGCCTTCGTTTCCGCTGAACTTTCCAACACAGTTTCATACAAGTTTTCACATTTAGTCATGTGTAACACTACGGAGCGTGCTCTGAGGAACCTCGGCATGACGGGTTTTGAGAAGGAACTATAAGCAAGCGATAAGAGTGAGCCATCTAAAACTCAAAATTNTTGGCTGGAGACTGGACGATATGGCGGCTAGCCGATGTCGGTGGCATTCACGCTCACTTTCTCTCAGGATTGTCTAGCGGAGTACTGAAGGTGCAGGCACCTCAGATGTTCGTTGTAAACTGGCCCCATCCTGCGCCATTTTCTTCTTTCCATTATAAGGCTTCATTGAAATACAATTAAGATGGTTGTGTGGCAGTGGAGCATCGGTTTTGTTGTCAGTGATGAAGATGATGACGATTATGACAAATTCTTACTCGGGTGGTCATTCGTGGCATCTTAGCACTCTAGCTCTATTTCGTCAAAGTTTGTGCACACACACAGACTCACATGTGTTGAAGTTTTTGTGATTAACCCCAGCCTGTAACACATCAAATTTACTTACGACGAAGAGGTAAACATCTAGGCAGCAACACAGACAGGGCACAGTCTGACAGTTAGCGTTTCATATCAATAGCCGGTGTCCAACAATAAAGTTACAGCTGATGCATTTGCCTTAACCTCAGGGCAACTAATCCCGGGGAAAATGACCTCAAATAATATTGATTAGTAATCCAGGTTTACCTTAATATATGCGTAATCAGTTTTTGATTTACTGGCGATTAAAAAATAAAATATGGGCAATAAAACTGAAGAATAAATATGCAAAACAGAACATCTGGGCTTTCATAAACTGCAATTTTGCCAATCTTAATAAGGGATCCAAAACCTCTAATTTAGCCATGTGTAACACTACGGAGCGTGCTCTGAGGAACCTCGGCATGACGGGTTTTGAGAAGGAACTATAAGCAAGCGATAAGAGTGAGCCATCTAAAACTCAAAATTCGTAAGTAACACATCGGTAACGGTCAGCAGCTGTTATCCGACGAGGGTCTGCTGGGACCCACCGCACACGGAACAACACAAAATAGAGAGTGGAAAGATCCGTATGCTATAGCGTTGATGACACCGTATTCACAGAAGTAAATGACTCGACACATTACAAAACACACTAGAACCACTTTAGAGGACCGCTGTCATCCAAATGGGCCAAGCCTGGGGAAACTACGCCGATAAGTATAACAGGCTCGAAGTGTAAAATGTACGTTTTCGAAGCCACACATAAACGACTTTGCATTACGCCAAACACAAATAACGAACTTTTTGTGAATTTCGATGTCCATCCAGAACAGAGAGCTAATGACCATTGTGCATCTGTTTCATCTCATTTCACCTCATCTGCTTCATTTCACTGATCCTGAATAGCACTCAAACTTCAGTATTTTAAAATTTTCTCAGCTAGCTTTGGTTGTTGGACAACAGGTTAGAGATGTTTTTCGCTGTGCGTTCCGAAAGCCAAATGCGCTGAACAAACCCCCTCAGTTAAGCTTCTATGAATACCTCCTCAGTGTTTTCTGTCCTGGTTGGAACGAGCACCATGGGTGTTAAGATTGCAGTTTTCAAAGAACAAATTCTCAAGAGGATTATGTCGTGAATGTTTGAGCAAACCAATAGGCATTCAATGGCACCCAAAGAGACCGTTAGTATCGGCTTTTTCAGAAACTTTGAACACGCTATAAATCCTGGCAATATGTAACCACAAGCGTCTAAACGGGTCATGAAACTGTCAAAGAGACTGAATCCAGGTTGAAAATAATACCAAGGACTTTCCAAAACGCACCTGGCCGTAACGTCAAAACACACAACACACCGCAAGTCACGATATTCAGCCCCACTGTTTTGACTTTCATGAAACTTACGTGAGTGTCTCCCTTTGAATTTTTCGTGTGTAAGGCACAGAGTGATGCTCCAATAGCAGTAACCAACCAAGTAAGTCCGGTACCAAACAGAGTCTGGGTAAGGGGAGAAAAACCTTCAAACATTGGAATGGTTTGTGCTGAAAAGTAAAGTCAAATAAGCCATGTAAGTAAGCGTCAATTTCAGATACCTTAGTTATCATGCTGCTCTCTCGTCTCGAAAGTGTTCTAAATTTGACTCAAATAATCGTGTTAGCCTTCACAGAGCAAAACATCGAAAAATCATCATGTTGCATTGCGAAACCCTCACTAAAGAACGAAATTCGACAACACCGTTGTTGCCGACTACACTGATGATGATGACAAACGACTTATCTGTCCAAACTAATAAAGGCAAGTTATCGTCCTCTCACGGAGAAGTTACAATTCTGCTGATCATGGGGATTTCTCCAGTCGTCTGGGGAAGCTCGTGAAGGTGTCTAACGCAGAATCTATGCTAAGGCCTAGTGCCCACACTGGTGTCCACCAGTATTACACAAAGGGCGAAACTGTCACCGTTTTGCTTCTAGTAGGGGGGTTCGATTCTACTTGTACGCATTAGTAACCGCCTTAGTTTTTTTTGGGGTGCTGGAGCTCCGCAGATTACATTTGGTCTAGGTCACACCAGGGACTTTGCCAATAGAAACCCAACATCAGGAACATCTCACTCAGCGGAGGTGGAAAGTGGGTTTTGCGAAGGAAAGCGTTGAAACGGTTGAATCGATGGCTATTGCGCTACTTCAGGATCATAACACTCGTCTGAATGGTCCTTCTCCCGTCCTGGCACAATTAACCTCGTTAGTCCATACCAGAGGAAGGACTAACCGGAATAACTACGAGAGGGAAAAGAATGTTCAAACAAGTGATGTGAACGTGAATTCTAAAAATCCCAAAACTACATAAATTGCAATCAATGACTCAGCAGGGAAGTTTGTGCTACCTTAAATAATAAGAATCAAAACACACATACGATATGGGACATTTGCTAGAAACCGTCCAGAAAGGTAGTAGGAGCATCAAATCCAGTGGCGACAGAATGTTCAAACAATGTGAACGTGAATTCTAAAAATCCCAAAACTACATAAATTGCAATCAATGACTCAGCAGGGAAGTTTGTGCTACCTTAAATAATAAGAATCAAAACACACATACGATATGGGACATTTGCTAGAAACCGTCCAGAAAGGTAGTAGACGCATCAAATCCAGTGGCGACAGAACAAAACGGATGATGAATCTAAATTGACCAAATGACAATCCCCCATTCACCTACTTACTCCGTTTATGTACTTTTGTTCATCTGTACCCGCTACTCACCTTGCCGCTAGGGCGTCCCGTCCGACACTTGTGTATTAGCATGTGTCTATCTGTGCGCAGCCGACCCACTTACCCAAGCGCGTTCGTGTCCCGTTTGCTGAGCCAGAACTGACTTGGTGCGTCGTGATTCCCGTGCGATTGCACCGCCAATCGGAATCACGAGACTGTTGTCTGGATGGACGACTACTAAGCCGAAATTCCGCCCATCGTTACTTGATGTGTGGACGTTGACAATGCGCTCTGCCGGTCAGTGACAGACTTGTGCGCTTGTTGACGCCAAGATCGTGGACAATTGAGGTCATCATCATCATCATCGACAGCAAGACATCCATCAGTAACACCGATGCCTCAATGCCGTACAGCCATGACCTATTTGAAAGCCTTATTGTAAAGAAAAGAATAAAGGTGGATGGGGGACGGACTTAGTGCTAGCTTAACACAATCATTTCTAGGTGCCTATACCTCCAGACATTCACTTAGGCAATCTGGATAGAAACTGACAACGAGAACGCCACTGACATCGGTTGGCAGCCATATCTTGTAGTGTCTCCAACCAGGCACAGTGAGGATCACGCGGTCCCCA